TTTAAAAAAATTTTAAAAATAAATAAATAAAAGCTTGCAAGTGGCAAAAAAAAAAAAAAGAGAAGGGACCAGTCCCTGAAGGAGGATATCATGCTTGGTAAAGTAAAGGATCATCAAAAAAGGACCCTCAATGAGATGGATTACACAATGGCTGTGATGATGGGCTCAAGCAGAGGGATTGTGAGGATGGTGCAGGACTGGGCAGTGTTTTGTTCCACTGTACATTGGGTCACTATGAGTCTGAGCTGACTTGACAGCACCTAACAACAACAAATCTTCAGGAGCTCTAGCAGTTAAAGAATTTGGCTGCTAACCAGAAGGTTGCCAGTTCAAACCCACCAGCCACTCCACAGGAGAAAGATGAGGCAGTGTGCTTTCATAAAGATTTACATCCTTAGAAATGCTATGGGGCAGTTATACTGTGTCCTATAGGGTTAATGTGAGTCAGAATCAACTTGATGGCAGTAGGTTTGATTTTGGTTTGGAAAAAAACTACATACATGTTTACCCAGCAATACTACTTTTAGGAATATACTCTGAAGATACATACCCACATACAAATACAAAATAACAAGCTCAGGTAATTCAGGCTTAAAACAATCAAAACACCCACATATTAGAGGTTGGTTGAATAAATGATGGTACACTTATACAATCAAGCACTATGTAGCTGCAGTGTAGTAAATTACATAGTATGGCTTATCTAGCCATAGTCTTTGTAACTCCCACTTTGCTGTAAGCAACTGAGTAGCTGATTGTTAAAGTTATCTACCTGGTGTATTTCTGTTGGAGTAGCACAAAACAATCTTCTGGGAAATTTGCTCTCTCTCAGGTGTGTAGAATTCTGAAGTTGGGATTGGTTGGTTTGGGCCACTCTGCCAGGCTCAAAAGGAACCCTCCTAGAGGCAGAAGGAATCTCTCTGACTGCTGGCTGATAGACACGCTGCTGAGACAGACATGCTGCTGAGAGAGCAACGATCAGCTGAGAGAGATGTGAGAGAGATGGGCTGTTGACAAGGGAATGTGAGAGAGACGCACTGCTGAGAAAGACTGAGTGCATTCCTGAACTTGAATTGTAGCCTGTTGCTTTCCTAATAAACCCTATAATCTGTGAGTTCTGTGTGGCTACTGCAACGAATTATCAAACCCGGCAGAGAGGTGGTGGGTGCCACGAGAAGGACAGTTGGTGTCAAGATTAGTAAGAAGGCTGGAGGGTGGCAGCATGTCTGGCCTCATAAGAACAGGCCTTGGGCTTCTGATGGTGGTTCTGTCTTCCTCTTGAGGAGTTAGAGGAGGTCAGAAGATGCTGCCTCCCTGCCCCTTTAGCAGTAGCCATAGAAAAAGACAAAGAAAAACAAGATGCAAAAGAGTGTACCTAGAATGCTAGCTTTGATGTAAGAAATAGAAATATGAATATGTAAGAATACAGGAAAATACACATAGCAAGGATAAAACAGAAATAATAAAAACAGTTATTAAGGGCTGGGTGGAGGTAAGGTGAGAGGCATAGGAATGAAAGCAAGGCTTCTCTGGTTACAACTTTTTATGCAAGTTGAATTTTGAACCATATCAATGTTTTCCATATTAAAAAATTAAAAATTCAAAAGAAATCTTAAAATTTAAAAGTTTGAAATAGAAATACTGATATCAAACTCACCTTTTTAAAAAATACTAATTTCCTCATTCTGTACCCTGAAAAAGCATAGAAACAATGGAAGCCCAGGAGTGATGGGTGGCCCCTAGCACCTAGACCCTGGTTTCTAAAATACCATCTCCCAGTATACGGAACAGCGTTCCTTAGAGAAATGACTGACTGTAGGTCTAAGGCAAGTACAAGATGAGCTTAGGACATCATTCTGTGCAGAAAACAAGGAAATACTCAAAAGGACACAGGAGCCAGGGGCTCTCATTGGCCAGACTTGGGATAATCTGAACATCAAAAATAGTAACAATGCCTTATAACCCATTCGATGTGTATGTGTATTTGTATTTAGGAGTACACACACACATACACAATTTTGGGAGGGCAAGGAGAAAAGGAAAGCACTTCTTTATAGAATGATATAGTTAATAAAAGTATAAGGAATAATGCAGAAAGAGAAAATCATTGTTTCCAACTCCCAGTGTAATCATCAATTTAGGCAAGAATCATCAATGAATATAAAGTCACTGACAGAAAGGGTACTGGAAAATCAAATATTCCCATGGACCCAAACCTTACAGATTATTTACTAATTAAAAAGAGAAAAAGGTACCTTTATAATTAAGAGGTCTAGTGGTCACCAGATATCTTAAGCAAGGGATGGGACATATCTTCATCAATAGTGGAACAAACTGACATTTACCTCCTGGTGTGACGCAATGAGAAGTACTTAATATCACTTAAGGAGTATTCTTTTTGTTATTTTTAATCTAATCATGAACATGTAATCAGAACGCCAGAATGTGAGAACACTGCATAAGACAAGTAGTCTGCATTCCACAAAACAACTTGCCAGCTATAAAGACATTTGGAGGACAAATTAGGAAAATTTAAATGTAGACAATATACTATATGATATTATGAAATTGTTATAATTTCATTAGATGTTATAAAAGTATTGTGGGAGATAGTGGTATGAAGGAGATGTATGCTGATTAGGAGTGAAGTATTATAATAACTGCAATTTTTAATAATTCAGTCAAAATTATATATATACAGAGAAAAAAAAATGTGGCAAAATGTTAACAACAGGCAAATCTATGTGAAGAGTATAGTTTGTATATGTCCCTGTTTTCACTGACTATTCAACTTTTCTGGAAATCTGAAAATTTTCAAAATAAAAAGGTAAAGATAAAACATTAGAATTTATAGTATAAAAAAATAAGCTTGCCAATCCCAGCCTGTCTCAGCAGGGCCATCAAGAGCCAATGGCACCTGTGGGCCAGTTAGAGCTCAGCCTTCATTCTCACAGTAGAATATGGCTACCCTGTGTAAAACTAGGACTGGCTGGACATTTTAGCAAAGGGGCTCTGTTGAATCCAAGGCCTGGGTTAGAACATTAGACAATGTAAAAGACTAACTACAACTCTTCTACTTAGAGGGAGTACACCGTAATAACAAGGAGAAAAAACAACTAATCATAGGTCATTGGCATCATTTTCAAATACGAAAATTACCATTAACTTAGGCAACCACTCAACAAAGTCCGAGAGGGAAGTGAAATTATGAAGAATTCTTTTCTACTGCTGGATTTATCATAAAAACTGAGTCTTAGAAAATTCACAAAAAAGTTAGTTGGTAGAACCTGAAAATAAACCACCTATTGCAAAGGATCTGGAGGTGTTATAAGCAATCTGTGCTTTAAAAAAATATACAAGCTAATAAGAAAGAATATGCTGGAAGTATTCTGAAATTAAACCAAAATGATCAGGAAAAGTGACTTAAAACTCTATTAGGTATATATAAAGTTAGTGTGTGTGAATATATATATAGTACATATATGTAGTGTGTGTGTATATATAGTGTATATATATAATTAGTATGTGTATATATGTATG